AGAAACTAAAAGGACTTTTAAGTTTTACTATTTAATAATAAGTCTGTCAGAAGCTCGATAACACACCATAGCTGAATACAGTAAACACTATTTGTTGGGTATCCAAGAGCTATTTCTCCTCTCCTTCCAAGCTCAAGGAATTCTGCTTCTTTCAAGTAAGGCCAGGGCTTTCCTTCACCCACCTTGATCTGCCCCAGCCCCAGGGGAAGACTTATGATTGGTCTAGATCAGTCTTGGCATTCACATTCTACTTTGCCAGTGTTGGTCTAGGGGTGGGCATAAGTCCCAGTTCTGGTCAATGAGAAATAAGGGAAAATGTGACTTCCCTACCCCAACTTGAAACAGAATTTCAAGAAAAGAAAATCTTTTGCCTCTGTCTTACTGGGCAATCATGTGAGGACATGATGCCTGAATGAGTAGGATAGATCTTGCAACTGTGGAGCAGTAAGCACAAGGACACAATGGAAGAACAGAAGATCAGAAAGAGGAGGATTTTTCTCTTCCTCCCCCTCCCCCACCCCTCTCCTCCCCATCCCCCTCCTCCTCTTCCTTCCCCTCCCCTTCCTCTTCCTTCTCCTCCTTTTCCTCCCCCTCCCCCTTCCCCTTCTCCCCATCCCCTCCCCCTCCTTCTTCTTCTTCTACCCCTCCTCTACCCTCTCCTCCTCTTCCTCCTCCTCCTTCTTCTTCTCCTTCTCCTTCGAGTTTTGCATCTGAATTTGGTTATAGAGTCAAACAGACAAAGCACAGTCAGATGAGTAGCCAGAACATTTACATGTGAAAAATTGTATCTGAACCAACAGCATCTGTTCATACATACATTCGTGTGCCTTTGTTCCAAGCATATTTAGAAGGAGTAGGATCCTTGATGATGCCACTGAGCTCTTCTGCACCTGCCCGCCTCTGCCCGCTTCTGGTTATAAGAGATAACTAAATGCTGCTAATGCTGAAGTCACTGTTACTTGCTGCCATTTGCATATGTAAATTGGTGCGATCTCTACAGATGTAACTTATATAAGTAATATATAAGTTATAGAAAGTAATATATTTCTATTTGAATGTACCTACCCTTTGACTCAATTCTTCCACGGAATTATCAGAATCTGTCCCACAGATAAACTCACACACAGGTAAGTATACTTATATCACTATATTTATTCATACTGAAATGCAATTACATTAAATATTGATTAATTTAATTAATTAATTCAAACATCATGTATGCAACAATATGGTTAGATTAATGACTGTGCATTCATAAAATGAAACATGATTTTAAAAAGATTGGCACAGCTCTATGTATACTGGTAGGAAATTACATTCAAGATCATTAAGATATATATACACTGGTAAGTAGTGATATTCTGGATATAGTTAATGGAAAAAGTGAGATGAATAGTGGTTAAAGCTGGTTGATGGATACATGGGGATTTGTTAGGTCGTGTTTTCTTATAAATGTATTATGGAGATTTGAAATTCACCAAAATAAAAAAATTTCAAGACAAGGGGCAGGAAGAGTAGTATGTTTACTATGACATCATTTTTGTGTGTGTGTGTGTTTTTTTTTAAGCAATATAGGGGTAAAGGATAGAACATGAATATCCATGGAAACACACAGCAGAATTTGGTAACAACAGTTGCTACTAGGAAAAGAGGGAGGACTGGGAAGAGACTGAGTTTGCCTGTCCCTTTGTCCCCTTTGAATAAAAAAAAAAGTAAGATTTTATAATACAGTATTTTATTAAAAATAAAATAACAAAGATTTACTTATTTATTAAAAGATTTTATGTATTTATTTGAGAGAGAGAACAAGCCAGGGGAAGGGCAGAGGGAGAGGGAGAAGGAGACCCCCTGCTGAACAGGAAGCCCACTGAGGGACTTGATCCCAGGACCCTGGGATCATGACCTGAACTGAAGGCAGACACTTAACCGACTGAGCTACTCAAGTGTCCCAAAACAACATAAAGATTTATTGATCAACCAAGTGTAGGTGAGGGATAGACAGATAGGCAGTCTATATCTTTGCAATGCGGTCTCAAGTGCTGCTGGATGTTCACGCAAGAGATCTGTTCAAATCCAGCCTGCGACCCTGAAGATGACACCGTCGAGATGAGTAACACCAGGCTGTTACAGGTTCCTGCAAATAAGCTAAGCCCTTACTTAGAGCTAAGTTATAAAGATGCTGGGGACAAGGAAAACTTGATTGCAACGAGTGCAACAGCCACTGTAGGAAAACAACACAGCATCATAACGTATTTCTCGTAATAATAATGTAATTCCATTATAGACACTTTATATTTTCCATTATAGATACTATATAACGTAAAAATAATGTAATTCTGTTATAGACACTTTCTAAAAGCAGAAAAGCACAAAAAAAGAGATTAAACATCATTTCTAGTCCCACTCCCAGAAGCGATACCGTATATTTTGGTGTGAATGTATGTGATCCTAAAACACCACTTTGTAACTGGATTCTTCATGTATTTATTTATTTATTTATTTTATTTCTTTAAGCAATCTCTGCACCTGGCGTGGGGCTTGAACTCAGGACCCGGAGATCAAGAGTCACATGCTCCACCAACCAAGCAGGCAGATGCCCTGTAATTGGATTCTTTCCAGTTCACAAAATAGAATTATCTTCCTGCATCATTAAATATTATATTTTACAACATAATTTTTAATGTGTACATGTTCCTCTTATGTGGTTTTTAATAATCTTATCAATTTCTTATGTTGGACATTTTCCGTGGCTGTACAGTTACAAATCACAGGCAGTGCTAACACTCTCTGACTTCCACAAATATTAGCTCAACTTCCTTTCTTCCTTCCTTCAATAAATAGTTACTAAATAAGTGTGAAACAGCCAGGCTCAAACAAAGCAGCTACGAGGGGCCATTTGTGAGATATTTGGGGGAATCTGAATGGAGAGTGGCTCTTTCGTGATGCTAAGGAATTATAATTGTGTGAAAGTGGTCTTGTGGTTATGGGGAAATGTGTCCTTAATTTTTAGAGACCCACACTGAAGTATTTAAGGATGAAATGTCATGATGCTTGTAATTTGCTTTAAAATACTTTAGCCAAAAAATAAATGAAGCAAATACGGGAAAGTAATCACTATTCAATCACTAGGGATATAGTGCCTCCTTTGCTGTATATTTGAAATTTTCATTAAAAAATATGTCTTAAAAGTGAAATACATCATACTCGGTCCTGTACTATGAGCTGGAGATGTCGTAGTGAACAAAGCAGACCGTGGGGCACAGCCTTTGGGGAACACGTTTCCACCAGAATGTCTCCAATGCAATCTAACGGTGATGGCAAGACCTGTGTCAGCCTAGCATTCTTTGTCCCCTCCACACTGTCATCAATGTAGGTCTGTTTCCCCACCTTTTAATATCTATACCTCCCAGTGGCCTTGACCACACTGTGGTCACTAATACTGCATGTTGGAAATCAGTTCTGTGGCTCATGGTGCCCCTGGGATTCCATTCAGGAAAATTCCTGGGCACCCACGTGCGCCTGACACTGCAAAGGTAGCAGGACTTAAAAAGGGGATGGCCCGACCCCTGCCTTCCACTTACAGCCTGTGGGAGGAGGTGGAAGAGGTCATCCAAGCCAGCTGGAAGGAGGGGAGTTGGCTGGAAAGGTGACCAGGACAAGCTTCTTCAATGAGAAAGTAAGAGACCCTAGTGCAATGGGGAGTCTGCTGGGAGAAGGGCTGGATGAGCAGCCCTGCACGCCCACCCACAACTGGCAGGAATGAAGACCTAGAGGAGCTGATGTGCCATGTTATCCTTTAGTTCCCCGGCTGGCAAACTTTCCAAAGGGCTGGATAATAAACATTTTAGGCTTTTCAGACCAAGGGGCAACATCAGAGATAAGTTCCCCCCACATTTTTTGGCCAAAATTCAAAACTTTATTTTTGGACACCAAAATGTAAATTTCATATCATGTTCACAGGCCATAACTATTCTTCTTCTTCTTTTTTTTTTTTTTTCAACTATTTAAAAACGCAAAAAACATTCCTAGCTCAGGGCCATACCAGAACAGGTGGTGGTGGGATTTGGCCCCCCACATAACTTGCCAACTGCTCCGGCACAAGATGGGTCGGTTCTTAACGCAACGGTTTGTTTTCAGGGCTGCTGTTTGCTGTGGGGACGGGAATGGCCCTGATCTAGCTGTTGGCACCTACGTTCCGGGCCCGTCTCTATTCTTTCCCAGCTGGGGCTTCTGAGGAAAGTCACTTAACCTCCTTGGACTTAAGTTTGCTTGTCCTGGAAGCCCGAGGGAGGCTAAGGCTCCTACTTCCAGGCCGGGAGGGAAAATACAGCTTCGCACACTCTCCTATGTACGTGGGAAATACTGGGTAGAGGATGGACTCGTGGTGGGTCCAGAGTATCCCCCAAAGGCCGCAGTGCGCGGTCCTCCTCACAGCCCTCCGGAGCAGCGCACCCACTGGAGACTAGGGGCAGACTCCGCACAACCAAGTGCCGCGTGCCTGAGCACTGGGAGCCGGGTTCTGGGCGCGCGAGAGCAGACCCTCATCCTGGCTGCGGGCGCAGGCAGCAGGGCGGGAAGCTCCCTCTAGCCCGGGGCCGTCCGGCCGGCCGCGCGGGCCTCGCCGTCTGTGCGCCTCCGCTTCCATGGAGGGCGCGCTGTCCGAGCTCCCCGCCGGCTCAGAGGAGCCCCTCGCCGCCACCCTGGCCCCGAGAGGCCGATCCTGGCATCACCGCCGCGCCAAGCCTCAGACGGGACCTCGAGGACTTGCGGCTCCCGTCCCCTGTCCCCTGTCCCTGGGCTTTCGGGTCGTCCCCGAGGGTGCGCGCACGTATCCGCGCGCGGCGGAGGCCCTCCCTCGAGGCCCGTGCCCTGCAGCCTGCGGGCCGGACGCTGTCCCACGCTGCCCGGCAGGGCGGGGCGGGAGCTGGCGCTTGGGGTGCGCCCGGGCCTGCCGGCCAGTTGCGCAAGTGGTGCTCCGCGGCTATAAGAGGGGCGGGCAGGCATGGAGCCCCGGAGGAATCACGGCGCCAGCAGCTGCGAGGTAAGGCCCCGGGCGCTCTCCTTTTTCCTTCTCTGCGGGTCTTTCTTGGCCAGCCACCCCACCTCACCTCACCCTGAACGCCGGGGGAAACTAAGGGCAGACGGAAACCGGGGTAGACGGCTTGGTTCTGGACTATGGCGGCTTTGTACCAGAGTTCTAACGGGAGGGAAGGCGGCTGGGGAGATCTGGCTTCGGGACCGGGCTGTGCCAGTGCCCATGAAGCAGGAATCTGTGCCATGGAGCCCGCCAGGGTCCCGGGAGACTGGCAGAGCCGCCAGCCCAGCTGGTGAGATGCTTTAGAAATTGCCTTGAGCACATCCCCAAAGATTAGGGTACTCTGTCCCCCTCTGGAGGGGATAGAGTCTGGGGTGCTGGGGGTTCAGGTAGGAGCGTTCAGTTTCTGGGGACTAGCTTTGCAATGTGGCTAAGAATTCCGACATCATTTTCCAGTGGGGGTGTTCATCTCTGATATGTGAATTCAAGGATCTGTGTAAGGCCAGAGCCTAGGAACAGGACCACTGTGGGGTAGAGGTGGAGAGAAAACCGTTCAGAAGAACCTGAATATCTTGGAGAAATTCTGCCGAGTTTCACCACATCTGGCCTCAAAGCCAGGCATATTGCCTTCTGGACCATGGATGAAATTGGAGTTTTCTGAGGTGACAGAGCAGCAGGTCCCGGAAAGGCCTACTGCATGTTTCTCATGTGTGTGGGCAGGTGGGCCCTGGGCAGAGTCCGCCTTCCCTCCCAACCTGGTTTCCATTTCACTGTGGATGTGGTTGCCTTTACCTTCCCGTTTCTATAGCTGCAAGATGGTGGCATGTTGGAATTGTGAATCCTTACATACAGTTAGATCCAAGACGAGTGGCATGCTTGTCATTTGAGAAAGAAGTTTTGGAGAGGATGAGATGTTTGATTTCTGCTGTTGGGGTGGGGGGGGTCTTCAGAATGGGTGGGGCAGAGAGTAGGTTTTTTCAGGTATCGCCCCAGGACCACCAGCTCCATGATCGCCCATTGTAGGTATGGGGACGTTTGCTCTGTAGAGTGCTGAGGTGGGCAGCAGTCAGCTGGGACCAGTGGGAGAGAGGGTACCCAATCTCTTTCCCACCAGTCTGGTCTGCAAAACCATAGTTGCTGTCATTCCCATGTCTCCAGGAGCAGAGATGCCATAGGGATCATTTCCCTCATTTAGGCAGGGGGAGAGGGCAAGAGAAAAACAGCGGATGTTTTTAGGTTCTTCCCTTTTCTAGCAATTGAGGACATTGGGCTGAGGGGAACATGTCCATGTTGGCCAAAGGAGCGTCCTTCTCATATTTTGCACATCTTATGCCCAAAATAACTCTTCTCGGTATTTGGGGGAAGTATTTACCCCCCTCTCCATTCCAGGAAATGGCTCCAAGCGCCAAGGACAGAGCCAGGGAGATTGCAATGAATTCCTGCCTTTCAGCCCCAGGCAGATGCCTCTCGTGTATGAGTAGCCCGTGCAGGGTTTGGAGGTGGCCGCTTGGGAGAGCTCTCCTCACAGAACCCAGGTCATTGTCCCCTTCTGCTGCCTAGATGCCACCCGAGGGAACGTGGGATTTGGGGAGAAAGAAGGAGCTTCAGGGAAGTAGAGTCCTTGTGGGGTGTGCATCCTTGAAGAGCATGCACGTGATTTGAAGGAAAATCAAGCCAAACTGTCGTGCAATCAGTCAGTCGGGAGGCCTTGTCTTCTCTGGCAGTAAGACTGCGGCAGCAGCTCCATTCAGGCCTGGCAGCCCGGAGCCCTGAAATTCTTCTTTGTCCACACAGTTGTCTCAGAGAAATAGAAAGAGGTTGTTTTTGCTGAAAAACAACAGACCTGATGCCTGGGCTCAGGGAATTCTTTATGCTCCTTCCACGTGTGACGACAGATGTGACTTCCTTCTCTGCAAACTGCGTTTTACAGTCTTTCCTGCCCCGTTTGTCAGCTCCCCAGAACTGGAGGCGTGATCGGTGTCCATGCTGACATCTCACTGATTTCACTGAAGATCTCATCCTCATCTGTGTGTGCCTTGTGTTTGTACTCCGGGTTGCACGGGCTGGGGAGGAGTGCAAAGGCAGGGGGAGGAAGCCACAGAGAAAAAAGGAGGGGAAGAGGTCTCTAAGAAGTGTGGGAGGCCCAGAGAAGCAGCTGGAGCCAGGCTGATGAACGGGACTAAGTGGCATCTGGGACCACCGTCAGGAAGGAGCAGAGCTAGGGAAGCTGAAAGGAATGGGGACCCACAGGGTGCTGGAGGACACTCCTGAGGGGCAGGAAGCTGACCAAGGTCCCCGATAAAGGGAAACCTGGAAGCTCAAGTGTTTTCTGCCTTCATTAAGAAAGTTTCCTAGGGGTGCCTGCTGGGCAAAAGTGAATTCTATGATGTGTTTTTGAGATCAGGGCAGGTGAACCATGGTAGAGGTAGGTTAACTGGGTTAGACAAGGAAAGTCAGAGATAAGAAATATTTTTTTTTATTCTTTCAACAAATATTCATGAGTGCCTGCTCTGCACCAGGCCCTTGGAAGATGCTGGAACAAATAGCATGTCCATGCCTCCTGCGCCTGGCAGAGAGCACTAATTGATGGAGGGACCCTCTCCCTCTGAGGCTGGATGGGGCTTCCGGTCCTCCTCTGCACAGAGCTCCAGGGAGCCGCGGAAAATTGATTGACTTTGACATTGGAATTGAAACCTATTTGTTATCCATGATGGGGATCAGATCTCAGGGTGGTTTGTGACGAGTAGGAAGAATGTAACCCCCATCCCACACTCTGGCTGCCAGTTAAGTGTGTTAACATTTTTCAAATGAGGCTCCTGGTTACAAAGAAGAGAAAACCACTCATGCTAGCTCCGTGTTTCCAACAATACACTGCAACCAACATTGAGAAAACAGATCTCTTCAGAGTACATCACTCATAGTAAGGGCGAGTTTGATTTTTTGACCCTTGTTCCTCTTCCATGTGTTTGTGTATATCTCCCCTGGATTTAAAAATATATTCAGAGAGTGGAAAGCAACTCAAATGAGTATATGTGGAAGAGTATCTCACCGTGGAGGCTAAGGACAGGGAGGGCCCGGAACCAACGAGGTCAGGAACCAGAAAGAAGGTCAGGAAGAAGCACGGGCACTGACAGTCACCTACCTGTTACAGGATGACCTCTGGTCTTTCTCAGCTACTCTGTGCACACAAGGGCAACCATGGCTTCCCCGGAGCTTTGGAGCCCTCAACAGGGACAAACTGAGCCCTCTGAAGTGTTACTTTCAATTCCTGGGAAGGATGCTAATTGACCTCATCAGGGTTTGGAGGAGAAAGAGATAAGGAAAGGGAGGAGAAGTGTATTCTCTGGCTCTTGTCTACCACTGGTCGAGAAACCATGGCCTCCAGAGCGTGTGTGTGTGTGTGTGTGTGTGTGTGTGTGCTCTGAATAGGGCAGATTCCCCACGAGGTGGAATCAAGCCTGGACATTCTAGCTCTCTACCCTTACACACTCTACCCTTCTGCCATATTGAATTCTCCTAAGCCCACCACAGTTTTCCCCAACTCCACACTTTCGCCTCTGTCTGGAATGCCCTGCTTGCCTTCTCCTGCCTGGGGAACTCGTGTCTTTAAGGTTTCAATTCAAATACTGCCTCATTTACAAAGTTGTCCTCCCCTCCCCAGAGTCCCCACCTTCCTCTGTGTTCCCCAGATTCTCTGCTCCTCCCCTCCTAATGAGGTTGTGTTAAAATGAGTTATTTTAGCTTCTGTTTGTTCCACTGGATTCTGAGTACCTTTCATGACCAAGATCCGGTCTTCCTTGTCTCTATTCATCCTTTGTTTTTTTTCCTTGTCCCCAAGTCCCTTCCAACTTGGAATTATGGAGAAAGGAAGGAAGGGAGAGTAGAAGGAAAGGATGGAAGGGAGCCCACAGGAAAAATTTCTGCAGGGAAAATCTTAGACCATCCAAAGCTTTTCCCTCATAATTAACAGCAAATACCCCATTATCTGAATTTAATTCATATTAGCACACAGAGGATTATTGAAGAGAAGGGTATAGAAATCCCAATGGCTGGAGAAGAGAAAAAAGAAGAGAGAGGTGTGTGCTGGATTCCTGCTAACCTCTGGCACTTCCAACCAGGAGATGACATGGGACTTTGGATAGCTCAAGGTTAGCAGCCTCCACCAGTAAATGCCTCTGTGACCCTAAGCTCTCCCCAGCCCCCCTACCCCCACTGCTACCATCAGAAGACTATAGGCAGGCCCAGCAGTCCTTCCAGCTAGGATCTAGAGAAGCATCCCCCGTCTTGAGAGAGAGGCCCCACGTGGTCGGCCTCATCCTCTAGGACCAGAGTGGAGGTGAAGGAGGTCACATCTGGAGGCCACCAGCTTCCTAGGGAAATAGGAGCAGAGCTTGTCCGTGGAGAAGGCAGAGGTGTGGGGCCTGCATAAAAGTGGGGCAGGGTTGGGGCAGGGGGGTCAGCTAAGGATGAATGGAGCTGGGGCCAGCACCCAGGGCCCAGGTGAACTCAGAGAGTAGGAAATTGTGGATGGATGGAAGGTGTGGTTATATGAGCCTCTCCTGCTGGCCTTGGAACTGTTTTCTGTGGTGCCATTTCCTTTTCTAGTGCTGCCCTGGGAGGCTCCATTTTCTGATTTTTCTTTTCTTCTCCACTGCATGGAGAGGATGGCAGGGATGGTCGTAGAGATGATGGGGAGTGTCACAGTCTTAACTGAAGGAGAAGGAAGGCAGCAGGAGGCAAAAGCTGGTGACCAGGAGGTCCAGAGGGTGAGCAGAGGATGGCGGCAGGGATCCAGCAGAGTGAGGGGGAGGCTGTGGTCTGTATGAGTGAGGCTCAGAGGCTCATTGCCCACAGCTCCTCCAGCCGTGCCCATCTCCCTCCCCAGGCTCTGCTTAAATAACTGGCAGAGAGAAACAAAAAAGACAGGATGTTGTATCCACATTTCAGTGGTTCATTTTTTAACTCTCAAAAAATGACAGCTCCTAAATGTTCAAAACCATTTTTGGAAACTTCTCTTGATGAAAGGTTTTGCAGTCCGGCAGCTGGCTGACCATATCCTCTCCTCCCCGTTCCTCCCACCTCAGCTCTTTCCACCTGGGCTCTCCTGTGTCTACATCTGCGGCCCTGCTTTTTTTTTTTTTTTTAAGATTTTTATTTATTTATTTGACACACAGAGAGAGATCACAAGTAGGCAGAGAGGCAGGCAGAGAAAGAGGGGAAGCAGGCTCCCTGCTGAGCAGAGAGCCCGATGTGGAGCTTGATCCCAGGACCCTGAGATCATGACCTGAGCCCAAGGCAGAGGCTTTAACCCACTGAGCCACCCAGGCGCCCCCCCTTTTTTTTATGTGACCCCCAATCCCAACTGTCAGCTGGATGGGTCCACCCAAGTTTCAACCAGCAAATCAACGGCATTTCAACTCCCTCCCTGTGCCTCTGCCAATTTCCATCTCCATCCTTCTTGCCACCTGGACTGAAAACATTAGCCTGGGAATAGTCAGAGCTCCTCGTTTCCATGACAGGAACCTAGCCTCCCTATGCTGTCCTCAGGGCCCTTCTGGCCCATCATACCTCCCATGCTGGCTGGGAGCCCCTGTGTCCCAAGTTCACAGGTGTTCTTCAGCCTCTGGGCCCTCAGCTGGGCTGCTCCACTCCTCCACTTCACAAACCCAGTTCCTCCTGACTCTTACAGCCTGTATCAAATGCCACCTCCTCCAGGACGCCCCCTTGATTCCTTCCTGGAGATAGTGGTGATGTGTGACAGCTAATGTGTATTAGGACAGGCCAGCACCTAGCACATTACATGTATTACCTCATTTCATCCTTGGAACAACTTCAGGTGGGAATTATAGTTTGTGTCATTCCCCTTTTATAGCTAAGAAAAATGAGTCTGAGAAAGTTTGGCCAGCTTGTCCAGGGTCCTATACCCCAACCCAAGCAGAGTTCTGCTGGACTCCCAGAGTTTATAATTTTACACACATCTCCCTCCCCTGAATCACCCTGGGCATGCTGTCTGTTTAAACATTCTTCCTGGACTTACAGCTAATTAGGTAAGCTGGTTGTTCAAGAGCACAGTTTTGTTCTTTACTTTTATTTCTAGCAAATAATATACGTTAACAATTGACTGCATTAAATACTGTGGTATATTCCCTGGGCTTCAGGGAAACCCAGCAGTCTTCAGCCCCATCCCTCCCTAGTCCTGATTCCTGCCTTCCTGTGGTCCCGGGTCCATTCTGTCTTTGTACCTGGCCCCCAGGGGGCGATCAAGGGTAACCACTACATGTCAGGCGTGGTGCTTAGTGAAGTTGTAGTGGTCGTCTTGAATGATCCCTCCCCTCTCTAGTTCCTGAATGCTGCTCTCACCGGCCCTGTGTACCACCTTCTTGGGCCACAGACAGGCCCCACCCAGGTACTGACATTCGAGGGAACCCAGAAGCACTTGGCATCCACTCTGTCCTGATGCCCATGTCCAGGTGTATAAAGCAGCTAGCATCAGGTTGGGCTGCATTTAGCAGAGACCCAACATAACAGTGGCTTAACCAAGACAGAGGTATGTCTCTCTCACACGCACAGCACAAGTCCAGGGATGGGCAGTCTGAGGCCAGTAGGTCACCTCAGCTCCGCAAAGTCCTCAGGGACCTGACCTCTAGGTCCCCACTGCACTGCTTGTAAGGTGAGGCTCTCCTACTTGTGATTCAAGATGGCTCCAGAACCGAGGCCACCACATCTGCAATCCAGGCATGGGATGGAGGGAGGGATGAAAGAGGAAGAGGCAAAGGCACGCACCCCCAGGGCTGCCGTGCTGGTAACTGAATTGGCCAGGCTTTAGTGGCAGAGCCAAACCTAGTCAGGGGAAGCTGAGAAGGGTAGTATTTGTTCTGGATGGCACATCACCATCTAAACTTGGATATCACTTGGAAAGAAGGGAAGGAGAGATATTGGAGACAACTAGCAGCCTCTACTAAAAGGGTTTGGGGTGTTGATGTGTTTGCGTGTGTGCCTATGTTGGGTGTGATGTACGTGAACGTGTTGGTGGGGCATGTTTCCTCCCCGACGTTGACCTCCGATGGACTTGTTATGGGCTCTCTACAGAACTCCCCTACATCTGGTCTCCTCTTGGGCAGATTCAGCAACAGCCTCTCAATTCCACCTCTCAAGGAACTACAGTGTATTTTCTGCGTTCGCTGAAGCGTATTATCAGTGCTGATAGAGGGGCTTCTAAAACTGTTTTCCCATTCAGGTGCTACAGGGTGGCCATTATGCGACAGCGACTGTGACCAGACTTAATCTGGTAATAAATTCTCTTGGGAAGGAGGGTGTCATTACACTAGAATCCTAGAAAAGGGTACTGTTCAATCTTGTGCTGCCCAGAAATGCCAGGCACCCTGTGGAGATGGCCGGGGGAAGGCAGTGGGCCAAATGCTAGATTCGGGGTTGGCGGCAGGCAGTGTTACCCCAGTGTTTCAAGACTTGCCTAGTGATCACACAATGCCGGAACGGCTGACCTCTCCCCCCAACCCCACCCTTGGGCACCTACACGCCCTGTACTCAGGGGCTTGACAGGTTCATCTCATTTATCCTTTTAGCCAGGTGCTGTTATTGGTTCCGTTTTACTCACAGGAAAGGATGCTGTAAGGAAGTTAAGTATTTGCCCAGGGACTCCCTAACACCTTGGGATCTAACCACTGTACTTTCCGCCTTTGCTAGGCTTTTGTGGAACCATACTGGGGATTAGCGCTATTTAACTCCATTCCACAAGCATTTGGTGGAAATGTTTACTCACGCAATCAGTAGTTAATAGAGGGAGCTTTGATTTTTTTTTTAAGATTTTATTTATTTATTTATTTGACAGATCACAAGTAGGCAGAGACGCAGGCAGAGAGAGAGAGGAGGAAGCAGGCTCCCTGCTGAGCAAAGAGCCCGAAGCGGGGCTCGATCCCAGGACCCTGGGATCATGACCTGAGCCGAAGGCAGAGGCTTTAACCCACGGAGCTACCCAGGCACCCCGAGCTTTGAGTTTTTAAGAGAGAAAGCGAGCACAGAAACCCTCGAAGCATAGCCCCTCCTGCATTACTTGGGATTTTTCATATTCAAAGCTGGTATGGGGGTTCAGTCTCCTAGCTTACTGCTAGAGCGGGTATTTCTTTCTCAGGACCATGGTTCCAGGAGGTACCTTGGTTGAGCATTGGGGTGGTTTGTAATTTGGGGCTCTCCTCGAAAGCTGGGGAAACTATGGGGTGGCACCCCAGCTATGGAGAAGGCACCCCAGCCTGACTCCGCCACTCACCTGTTTGGCTTTGAGCAAGTTAACGCATCTTCCTGACCCTCGTTTTCCCCCTTCTGTAAAATTCAGATTAAAAGGATACCTTTGGGGAAAAAAAGCATACCTTGATCAAGCATGATACAGATTACTTATTTCTATTATATTGTCAGAATATGAATCATACTAATATTGCCACCTGCGGATAGAAAGTGTATTATCTGTTTTTTTCAAGACCTAGACGAGGCAGAACATAAAAAGCAGAGATTAACTTTTTTGCCTTCTCCGGAACCTTCCTGCTACACTTACTTACATTTGATTATCATTTCAGGTTCATGCACACAACCTTAGCACGGATCACAGACTTGCATACCTTTAACTTTATTACCTTTTGTCTTATGTATCTCATTAAAACTTTGCTGCTTACTCAAGGATCTGCATATCATTAATATGAGAATTCATTGTTCCATGACTTTGAAAGTGTCAGTCATTCTGGATGAACATGTTATATAATCTCTCCTGCCTTCATGCCTTTATTTTATTTTATTTTGTCTTATATTAAGATTTTATTTGTTTATTTGTCAGAGAGAGGGAGTACAGGCAGGGAGAGCAGCAGGCAGAAGGAGAAGCAGGCTCCCTGCTGAGCAAGGAGCCCGATAGGAGACTCGATCCCAGGACCCTGAGACTGTGACCTGAGCTGAAGGCAGACACTTAACCAACTGAGCCACCCTGGCATCCCTGTCTCTATGCCTTTAAACCAGGTGTTTTCTGGACACTGGTGGCAACCACTTTCCATCCTTACTAACCCCCACTGGGCCTTTAATACCCAGCTCAGGTGACACCTCTTGCAGGGAGCCCCATTTGTACTCCTGTGATCTCTTGCACTCATCCTTCTCATGAATTTATTCTCTCTCTATTGGAATGGCCTGCTGACCTGTTTATCTCTCCTACTAACGCATAAGCAACCCGAGGGTAGAGAACATCTGTTGTTCACAACTGTATCCTTGTGCCCGGCTCTGTGTCTGACGCATTAGCAGACCTTCCAGCAGCACTGGTTGCATTCAGGCTCCCGGTGGGAGAGAAAGGACGTAATTAAGCCAGTGACAAATGCCCTCACAGAGTCATAAGCAGGCCGCCGTGGGAGAGTAACGGAGAGGACAAGAACCATCACCTCTAGTAATGAAGATAATAATAGAGCACATTTCACAACACCTTTAAAGCTCTTGCACACAATTGTCTCGTTTGAGCCTCATAAAAGCCTAGAGATAGGTATATTGCAGGAGATGCAGGTGGAGTTTTTAGTGGTTATGTGATATGCTTAGAGTCAGGCAACTATTAAATGGCTGGATTCAGACCAGACCTTAAAAGCCTGTTCTCTTCCTCGTGGTGTGCGATAAAGTCATATCACCACCACATCGCCCATTTGCTCCTGTCCTGGCTTCATGTTCCGTGTCCATCTCATACCATATCATAGATAATTGCTCAGGCCTTGCCTCCCTGAGAAAATGCATTTCATTAATGTAATTCTAGATAATGAATTGCCTTTGGCACTGAGGGGATGATTGCCATGGCAGAAAGCAAGTCTCATTTTTATCCACATCTGATAATGTGGTTGGTAATGGGGCATCTGGGTGTGTTCTGAGATACCAGCGACTTGCCATGTGTGGTTCCTTCGTTTTCAGGCCCGAGAAGCACATCCTGGGAAGGAAGATGCGTTGCGGACCCCTGTGCCGATTCCTGTGGCTTTGGCCCTATCTGTCCTATGTTGAAGCTGTGCCCATCCGAAAAGTCCAGGATGATACCAAAACCCTCATCAAGACGATTGTCACCAGGATCAGTGACATTTCACACACGGTAGGGAGGGAAGACAAAACAGAACAGTGACTGGCCCTGGAGAAACCACGACCTCATATGCTAGCTGAGGCCTATGCAGCCCCATGTAGGGACAGTGGTGGTCTTGACCTCTCCCCACTTCAAGGACAGCTGCCTTTCCTCTTGCTCTTCCCTCCACCTCTCACCTCTGCCGACTCCTTCCTCTCTGCTGGGAATCCTAGTGCCTAGGACCATAGGGAGCCATAAAGGTCCTCGTGTCCCACTGGCAGGAGACCAAATTCTCAGTTGCATCCTCTCTGGGCCTCAGAATGTGCTAGAATGTGCTTATCATTGGGCATTCTTTTTTTTTTTTTTTTAAGGATGTTATTTATTTGAGAGAGAGAGCAGAGCTAGAGAGAGAGCACGAGTGGGAGGCAGAAGGGCAGAAAGAGAAACAGGCTCCCCACTGGGCAGGGAGCCCGATGCCGGGCTTGATCCCAGGGCTCTGGAATCCTGACCTGAGCCGAAGGCAGACACTTAATCAACTGAGTGACCCAGGTGCCCCACATTGGGCAGTGTTGCTAGCTGAATTCTGGCCCTAGGAAGCTTCTCCCTGTTACTGAGAGTCCTGGGGTCCACAGGCCTAGACCTTCAGCCATTTCCCAGATGAGGACTGTGTTTGGAATTAGGAAGACTGAATGAGAATCTTCAGACTTCTGTTCTCTATCTATAAAATCTGAAGCCAGTTGCTCAGCGTCTTGAAGCCTGGGTTTCTGGAGCTAGATATTGGGACTATCATAAGGTACTTTGCAAGGTTGTTACGAGATTCAGTTAGATAAAGCAAGTGATCCTCCCTCCCTGCCCCTGACAGAACCAGAACAGAGCATGCTCTCATTAAAGGATTTTAGCAGTGGTTTTTGGTAGCCCCTAGTCTTAAAAGCCTGCTTGCTCCCCCAGCATGGAACCATCTAGAAACTTGACATCTTCTGCTCGCTATGCATGTCTGACAGTGGCCTTGGGTAGCCAGGGAGGAGTTAGGTGGCCAAAGGAGGGACCCCTCAGAACTAGATAGAGCCTTGGGCATTTTATAGAGAGAAACCCAGGACTCTCCTGGCTTTCATGAGGCCATGCGTGGTAGATCCAGAATGTTCCAGCTTGGGTGGTGCCGAGAGTGAAGGCCACAGGCAGTGGGGAAGAGGGGAAGCCCTCCTGGTAACCAGTGTGTTACTGAAGCAGAGGAGGGAGGTGGGACACTTTGAGGGGGGCATCCCCACCTTAATCCCTGTGGGGTGGGAGGCCTTGGAGAACCTGACTGGGAGGGAGGAGTCCTCTGGGAGTGGAAGGGGGTGAGGATGGCTGGGGGAGGGACCATTCAGGAGGACCTCAGTGCCTGGGGAAGAGACTTAACTAAGTAGGAATCCGGGCCACCTGGGTGGCTCAGTCGTTGGGCGTCTGCTTCTGGCTTGGGTCATGATCCTGGGATCGAGCACTACATTGGGCTCCCTGCCCAGCGGGAAGCCTGCTTCTCCCTCTCCCACTCTCCCGGCTTGTGTTCCCTCTCTCCCTGTCTCTCTCTCTGAGATAAATAAATGGATAAAAAAAATCTTTAAAAAAAACCCACAAAACTAGGAATTGGGCCTCATGGCCGGTTCTCCAGCAGAAACCATTTAGAGGAGGGAATTGGGGACGGGCAGGAAGACAGAAGTCCAAGAGACCAACTTGTAAGCTTGGCAGCCCCCCGGGGCCCAAGCAACAAGGGCCTGGGTCCGGGTGGTGAGGAAGGGGGAAAGGAGGCAAGCAAGAGAGCGGACTCCACACCCATGGGAGAGGCCAAGTCCTTGCAGCACCAACTTCTCTGAGATCCTGCTCTCCCTTTTCCTCTCTCCTGGCAGGCTGTCTCCTCCAAACAGAGGGTCGCTGGTCTAGACTTCATTCCTGGGCTCCACCCTGTCCTGAGTCTGTCCAGGATGGACCAGACATTGGCCATCTACCAACAGATCCTCACCAGTCTGCATTCCAGAAATGTGATCCAAATATCTAATGACCTGGAGAACCTCCGAGACCTCCTCCGCCTGTTGGCCTCCTCCAAGAGCTGCCCCTTGCCCCGGGCGAGGGGTCTGGAGAGCTTTGAGAGCCTGGGTGGTGTCCTAGAAGCCTCACTCTACTCCACGGAGGTGGTGGCCCTGAGCAGGCTCCAGGCGGCCCTCCAGGACATGCTTGGGCGGCTGGACCTCAGCCCTGGGTGCTGAGCCCTCAAAGGCCTCTCTTCCCAAAGTCGAGGAGAGAGCCCTGGACTCCCGGGTGTCTCCAGAAGAGAGCCCATATGGGTGTCCCTTCTCCGGACCCCGGGCCATTGCTCTCTCATACCTTTGTGCCCCTCTTCCAAAGGCATAAGCCTCCGGAGGCATGAAACCAAAGACAGAATGCATGATTCCATGCTCACCGGGAAGGGGGACCCAGCCGGCAAACAGTGAACTGGATCTGGGGTTCTTGCCAAAGAGAACCTTCCTTTCTGTGCCACCTTCCCCCTCACTGCATGCTTTAGCGTGACCTGGGGTGATTTCGGGAGGCGCCCACCGAGCCTTTGGACCATCGAGCAAGGTTCTGTCCGAGAATTCTGGGAGCACGGTGAAGGCTACATCCACGGAGCTGCCAACTCCCCGGCAATGCATTATTTATTATGCCTTTTATTCTGGAAGGATTGGAAGCAAAACATCAGCTTTTCTAGGCTCTCTGGGGCCAGCCGGAGCTAGGGATGCTGGTTCCAATCCCACCAATGGGCCTGGCTAAAGCAAATCCATTTCTAGTGACTTGAGGGCTCTCGAGTTAGTTCTTTGGTACCTGGCTTTGTTTCTACCGCGACAGATGTGAAATTACAGTATTTTGCAATGGCATTGCCGTGAGCGGATCTCCAAGGACCAGGTCATTTCAAAAAGAAGATGAATTTTGTCATCTGTGATATATAGATATGTGCACGTATTAGCGGGAGTGTGTTTTCTGAATCACATTTGTGCAATGGGCTCTTGGGATTGGGGGGGTCATTTTCTCATCTCTGCAACCACTTGGTGTGGTTTTCATGAAAAGATGACTCCTTCAGGGGGGTCGTGGGGGGCTTTGCCAGCCACCCGTGGAGGGAGTGGCACTGAAGACTGTCTCTTGGGGCAGTTGTGAGCTCCGGTCTTCTCCCATTACTGGAAGGAGGTCTTTCTTATTGGGGTGACGCTTGCTCTCTGGAGATGGCGATCCCCGGAGCAGGGGTCCTTGGTAGGGGCCTTGGAATGGTCTAGAGATGATCCCACACTGGACTTGTAACACGGCAGGAGCCCTACTTGGGATGTACCTGCTGAATTGTGGCTCTCATCTGACTGGCTCCCCTAAAGCAAGACCGTGTTTCCCACTCCTTCAGGGTGGATTTTGATTTCAGTGGGAAGGTCTGTGGGCCTTCGTGGGCAGTCCCAGGACCTGGGCCAGCACAACTTGGTGCCGGACTGCCAGGCCGGGCCTCCAGGAGTGCCCTTCCCACTGGAGATCATGTCTGGGGGTGACAAACCAGGAGGCTTGGGTTTTCCACCATCCTGCCGCTGTGATAAGGCCATCACACTCTCGGCGGTGGATCTGTCCAAGGAAATTTGAATCAAAGCTATCAGCTTGGAGACTGAGCACCTCTTTTGCGCTCAGCCCGGATGGGTGCTATGGGCTAGAGAAGCTCACCAAGTAAATGTTAAAGTCCAGTCTTATCCTCAGGGACCTTGCATTCCAGATGGTAAAAAGTTTACACACCGGGATGCAAAGGCTGGTCTTTTCACCATGGCAACAGAGCAGGTGAACCAGCATCCTGTTCAGCAGGCAGGAAACACGGAGCTGAGGATGCCAGTGATCAGGGGCCCCCAGGCCAGCCCTGCTTGCCTGTGGTAGCATTTTTGCTTTGCAGGGCACGCCAGCATTTCCTCCTGCGTAGCCACCTCCCTTTGAAACAGCGCAGCTGACAATTTAAAAAATAAGAACATAACCTAAGACCACAACCTCTGGCAGGTGGCAGGGCTCAGATTAGAGTTCAGGTCCTGTGACTCCCAGAGTGGTCTGGATAGAGGTTATGCTCCCTGGAGGTGCCAACAGCGTTGGGCAGGGCGGACCAGGAGACAGGAGTTGGAGGTGACTTTGCGGAGACGAGGGGTGTGAATTGTCTGGAGGGAGGGGGTTGTTTTGTTTGTGCTGAGACCCTGGGTGAAGGTATGTGGTTCCAAAGAAAGTCAGACAAAGAAAAGACAAGACAGGAGGGAAAGGGATGTGTTGAAGAGGCTTTCAGGTGCAAAGAAGTTTGATATCGAAAAGCATTAATGTCGGCAGTTCTGGAACAGAGATTCATGAGATGGGCGGAGTCAGACCCCTTCTGGAGGCTAGGACCTAGGTAATCATTACCACCAATCATGACCACCCAGTCAGGCTGGGATTTTTTAAGCCTCTCACTCTCCAAAACCTGACACCAGGGCTTATTCTCAGAGTGTGAAAGTTCTAAAATGTAAATGATTGTCTTCTTTTGTAACTTAAAAAAAAAAAAAATTTGTTGTTGTTAAAAAAAAATCAAATAAATTAACTTTGCCGCCTGGTCTTTGTTTTGTCACCCTTTCTGGAGGGGCTTTAGAAGAACTATTTGTGTGTGACAGGGCAAGGCCTGGCTGGCCTCCATCCCTCCCTGGCATCAGCTCTGCCCAGGCTTGGCCACAGCCGGCCACCAGTTATCCAGGCTAAAGGATTCCCCCAAAGCACAGAGCTGGCAAAACGAGCACATTCTGCACCAGAGTCCATGCAGGTCTGCAAATCAGCCTTGAGAAGCACCAAATAATTTTTCAAACAAAAAAGAACAACAACAACAAAAAAATCCACAAACAAAGAACAACATGCAGCCCAACAGCAGACCCAGGCAGGGCCGTAGATTCTTGAAAAAACAAGACTTATCTCATTGCAGGCACAGAGCAGGGACAGTCATCTCTGCAGTGCAATTAGAACCTGACAGTTTAAACCCAAGTTCTGGAGAGGACTGGGGGCAGGGTGGTGGGGGGGGACAGGGCTGACCCATCAAGCAGTCACTTCCATGGGTGATCTCAAAGGATAGTTGACAGTTGCCAACCCTTTCCTGAGCACTAGTTTAAGTGGTGGAGGAAAGGGAAGCAGACCTCCTGAAGAAGGGGAATCCGCAGCAGGCTGGGGTGTGGGTGGGGGGTTGTCAGATCTGGCTGGAACAGCCTAAGTGGGCCACTTGGCAGCTCAGGGAAGTGGCTGGCCTCTGTACCAGTCAAGACTTCTTTAGCTGCAAACGACAGAAATCCAATGCAAACCAACTTAAATAAAAAAGAATTTTTGGCCCACGTTGCTGAGAAGTCTAGGTCATGGTCCGTCCCTTAGAAGACTTTCTCTGCACACATCCCCAAGGACCTAGAAAGGTACCCGTGCCATGACCCGCCCCAGTCTCTGCCAGCCTTAGATGGGGAACAGGGCTCAGGGACAATGTATTTGTCCCTCGGTGGCTGTCTGGGACTGCAGGAGATGTCTTGTTTTGAGCAGGCACCCAGAAGCTCTCCCCGCCCCCACAATCCCCAGGTGGCTCCAGAAGTCAGCCCGCTCTGGGAGGTGACTGCCAGGGTCACAGTTGAAGGTTGTGTTCTCTAAGTTATCCTTCCAGAAACTTTTCCATCCTTGGGCATTCTCTTGCTCTCCCCTGAGGCAGAGCTCACATCTCCCAAACAGCGGGCAGACTCTGTGGGCAGCTTCTAACCATGTTCAACCTCCGAAGGCAGGACTTCTGCAGAGAAAGGGAGAAAGAAGTCAGGTCAGTCCAGCAGGTTATTTCCAAAGAACCCATCCTAGATTCCTGCGCAACAGCACATGACCAAAAAAATTAGACCCCACTTTCCCAAAAAGAACATGGAGTAGTAATTCCAGGCTTTTACCAACAGGATCTGAGTCTGGTGCTGTCTGACAAACACATCCACCTGGGTTAAGCTCACGGGCACACTGACGTCCTCAGCCCTCCGGGGTCCTTACCCCAGGAACACACCCTTTCAGACCTGAAGATGGTAGAGTCAAGGATGTAATATCGTAAGGGAGCCTCTGTGCCCAGCCCTCATCTCAACCCAACTCCCAGCGAAGAGGAGGCTGAACCCTTAGGCGAGTTATTTAACCACTCTGAGCCTTGGTTTGTCATCTGTACAATGGGAATATAATAGCCCCCTTCATCACAAGTCTTTAGAAGATTAGATGATAAAATATTTGGAAAGCTATTCACCCAATGGCTGATATACAAAAAAGCAGTCAATAAATGATGTTGTTATTGGTACTGAAGTGTCAGAGAAGCCAAAGGAGTGAGACTTGCTGTACCGGACAGTCCTCCATGAGATAGCCACAGCTGTGGTGTGGACGCCCGGGAACTGGGTTCCCTGCACCGCTCCCCTTGGCTCCTTAGAGAGCCTCTCAACCCACACGGGGCAGAAGGGGAAGGGGAGGGGGAAGTTCCCAGAGGGGCAAATCTCAACCAGCGGAGAATAAAGGTCTGTGGATAAATGCTTTTGCCTCCCTCCCTCCACAGGAGCAATTCAAAGGTGCATTTTGTAGGACTGAGCCCTGGGTCCCCACAGGCATCACATCCGTGGGGGCACTCCTGACTGGTCTTCTCCTTCCTGTTCCCACTCTCCCTGATCCTCACTCCTGCTTCCTGGGGTCACCTCCCAAATACACCTCCTGCACTTGAACCCTTGTCTCTGGCACTGCTCATGGAGGAACACAGAGTAAGAAAACTGCAAGACAAGTGGAGATGGGCTTGGATTTGGGGAGAACCATGAAGCCAGATTCCTGAGAGGGGTAGGCACCACACAGCAAAACTCACAACCGTCCCCAAGAGGCAGGCCTAATAGAAAAGAAGAGAGGCCTCCTGAGGGGAAATCCACTATAGGAAAGCTTGACACGGGAAAGACAACAGGACAGGACGCAGAGTCTACTAAATGTAATAATGACAAGATTAATAAGGAAGGGAGGGACAGAGGAAAGCAGAAGGAGGGAGGGAAGAAAGGGAGGAAAGAAGGCAAGGAGAGAGGGAAGGAGGGAGGATGGAAGGAGGGAAGGAGGAGTAAATGAGAAGAAATACATATAAATTTAATATCTCCTTACTGCCTTGGGCTGCTATTACTGAATAAAGAGGTCTGGGGTGCTTATAGAAAACAGAAATTTATTTCTTACACTTCTGGAGCCTCGAAATCCAAGATCAAGGGGCGAGCAGATCCCCTGTCTGGTGAGCACCTGCTTCCTG